GACCGCGAGATCGTGACCTGAGCTGAAGTCGGACGCTCAACCGACTGAGCCACCCAGGCACCCCAGCAATGAAGTGTTTTGAGGTCGATTTTGAGGGCAATCTGCAGCTCCTTGGCATCGAGAAAAAAAACAAAAACAAAAACAAACAAAACATCTCGTGGCACGGACATTTTCTGGAAAAAATTACAAAAGCGTCTTCGGTCCAATCTGCAGTGGATTCAGTCCATTTCATGCGATCCACACGCCCCCACACCCCCCAACAAGCGACGTCTGCGAGTAAGCAGCCTTTATCCGATTCGACTTGACATCCTGCGTGCATTTCAAGAGCAGATCCTTTCAGCCCCCAAACTACGAATCGTTTTTTCTTTTTCTTCTTTTGCGTAGCCTCCACACCCAACATGGGGGCTTGAACTCACGACCTCGGGATCAAGAGGCGCGCGCTCCACCGCCAGAGCCAGCCAGGCGCGCCCCCTTGCTTTTTCTTAGCAACATAAAGGCCTCTCAATACCCAGCTCGCGGGAAAACCAGCAGCCACGGCTGCCGAAAGTCGTAAATTGCGTGCGTTCCTTTCTCTGGCCTCCATTTCTGCGTTTCATGGAGAAATTTGTGTCGTCGGAGGCCAGGAAGAGAATCCCAACCTGCAGACCTGGAAATACAAGATCCATTAAGGATGGCTTAAGCTTCTTTGTTTTTGAAATTAATCTTACGATGCAAATAACGTGGAAATCCGTTTCGTTTGCACAGAAGTAAAGTCTGTGTAGTTAAGGCCGCCGCACGTCCACCATATTCCCCATTATCAGCTTGTTACGCTTCTTGCTAAAACTTTTCCTACACACACACACACACACACACATGCACAGAGTGATCGTTTTCTAGGACGTGCACCAGCAAAGCACCACAAACCGGGGCCTTGAACTACTGTGAACGTATCGCCTCACACTTCTGGGGCCTAGAAGTCCAATGTCAAGGACTGGATCAGGGCTGGTTGCTTCTGAGGCCCTGAGGGAGAATGTGCCACAGGCCCTCCGGCTTCCGGGGGGGTCACGGGCCATCTTTGGTGTTCCTTGGCTTAATCAGGTGCCACCCCGATCTCTTTGCCTTCCTTGTCACCTGGCTTCGCCCCGTGTGTCTGTGTCCGGATTTCCCTTTTCAGTGGGTCACTACTGCCCTATACCCGTGTGACGTCATCTGAACTCAGCATGTCTGCGATGACCCTGTGGGCACATGAGGTCTCGCGTTCCAAGGTCCTGGGGAGTTAGGACTTCCACCCACGAATTTGCGTTTGTGGGGGGAAACACAATGCCAGACACAACACACACACACACACACACACACACACACACACACACGTACACGTGTATGTTTCTGTGCCAACGTGAGGCCACATCTTGTGTTGAATGATCGCACCGCCACCGTGCTGAAGACGTAAACATCAGCCTGCCACTTGGCGCTTTCGCTCCGTCACCTGCCCCTGCGTGGCCGGGTGCCCTGCGTGGTCCCGCATTCCGAGGGGCCACCACGGTCTAAGCAGCCCTGGCTGATGCTGTGACAGCCCTCGCTGCTGTCTGGGGCCCGTGGACTGCTTTTCCGGGGCACGTAGGAAGACACAGAAGAATCAAGAATGCGGTTCGCGCTCTCTCAGGACATCCCAGCCCTCCTCGGGCTTGTTTAGGGACAAATTTAACACAGGGGGCTGCTGGGAAGGACAAAGAAGGGATGAGGACACACAGGTCATAGCTGCTGGAAAGAAGGGGTGTGGGGGCTGGGGTCTCAAACCTCTGAGGAGGGGGCACCCCCCACCCCCCCGGCTGCTGCTGGACCCT